CCTCGTTCGCACGGGCTTGCCCCTTCAGGGTGGTGGCCTTGCCTGTGGCTCGAGCGGGGCTCGCAAAAAAAGCTTGAGGTGCGCCTTGCCGGCCGAATCCAGCCAAGGCGCGAGAGAGTCGGCAGACTCAACATGAGTCTCACAGACTGCAAGATAACTAAAAGACTTCAACCTGGCACCTGTGAGAAAACCCAGCGCTTTCTTGCCCATATCCGTGACATTGGCAAAAAAGGCGCGTCTCAGATGGTGAGGCTGAAGTCGCCCCCGAATCGGGAGAGGGCGAGCGCGGCGCAGTCAGCTGAGACTGCGACTGGGCGCTGGCCCCCTCGGGCGGCGATCGCGCCGTCGGCGCAGCTGCAGGCGCACCCTTGCCTGCTGCCTTGGCCGCTGCCGCCGCTGCCGCCTCCGCTGCTGCCTTCTTGGTCTCGCTGATGCGCTGGGCAGCCGCCTGCGCCCCAGCCTCGGCCGCCGCCCCTGCGTCGGGGCCGGGTGGCTCGGCCGCGGCGGGCGACGCGGCCGCCCCTTGGCCGCCGCCGTTGTCGCCGCCGCTGCCGTCAGCCCCGCTGCCGCCGCCGCCTGGGTGCACTTGCCCGTCGCCGCGACGCTTCTTGGCCATGCGGTTCTCGATCGCCTGCTGGACTGCCTTGAGCTCCGCGAGCCACTTCTTCACCTCGTCAGACTTGGACGCAAGGTGCGTCTTCGTTGTCGCCAAATCCTGCCTGAGCTTGGCGAGGATCTCCTTCTCGTGGCCCTCGCACTCCAGCTGGTCGACAGACTCGAAGAAGGCCTCGTCCCACGAGACTCGGAGGAGGTGCGCCTCCTCCGTGCCAGCGGCTGCGGCGGCGGCAGACTCGGTCAGCAAGCCGTCCTGCGTCGCCAACGCCTTCACCGCTATCTTCTTGGCCTGCTCGGCCCTGGCCAGGGTGGGCGCTGCCTCCTGCTCGCGCTGCTGAGCCCGAGCCAAGACGGCCTCGGCCTTGGTGAGCGCTGCTACTGCCTGGTCGCGCTTGACTCCAGCGTCTCGCGCAGCCGCCGACGCCTTCTGCAAGGACCTCTCGGGGCTGACCGTGGACTCCGCCGCCGCGGCCTGCTGGCGCTTGCAGATCTGAGCCTCGAGCAGCGTGCGCATCGCTGGGTCCGTGGTGACTGCCGGCGCCTGCTGGTGCGCCACGAGCTCCGAGGACGCCGCCGACGACGCTGGTGCTGCTCCGCCTCCGCCGCCGCTGTCGGGCCGAAGCGCAAGCTGGTTGCTGCCGCCCCCCTTCTTCGGGCTGGGGCGGAAGAGCTCGACCTGCTTGCCGCGCGTGCACCGGCGCCCGCGCTGCTGGAGCACGTTGTTCCACTCACACTTACCACAACTCTTGCACTTGGTCCAAAGAGAAGGATCGCGGGTGTCGGCGGTAACTGTGGCCGCCTGCTTGCCCTTACCCATCGCCCTCTTAGCCAGCCTGATCCTGCGGCCGAACGATCGCAAGACAGGTGCCCCTCAAGCACCGCGTGGACGCGAGGCGAATCACCCCGAGAAAATGCAAAATGCGCTCGGGGCGAAATGGCTCGAGGGAGGCGGAGGAGGAGGAGGGGGGGGGGGGCGGGAGGAGGGGGGGGGGAGGAGGAGGGGGAGGAGGAGGGGAGGAGAGGGGGGGGGAGGAGGAAGAGGAGGGGGGGGGGAGGAGGAGGAGGAGGAGGAGGAGGAGAAGAATGAGGAGGGGGAGGAGGAGGAGGGGGAGGAGGCGGAGGAGGAGGAGGAAGAAGAGGAGGACGAGGAAGAGGAGGAATAGTAGGTGTAGGGGTGAGAGGAGGAGGAGGGGAAGGAGGAGGGGGAGGAAGAAGAGGAGGAGGTCTATATGACTATAGGGCATGCGACAACGAACGTCAAGACCAACAACTGGCGCATATCCTCGATATTGGTTTCTGTAACAGTTGCGGGCGGGCCCTTCGCAAGGGGTGGGGGCCCCGAGCAATCCGCGCCAGATTCTGCTTCCCCTTTGAGGTTTGGTGCCTCGCAAGGCTTGCAGAGGCGCCTGGGGCCGGTGGCCGCCTGGGGCCGGTGGCCGCTGACATCCCGCACTTACTGGAAAAAGCGAAATTGTGTTCACCCAGGTACTGAAGGGCATGCGATTCGTTCAAACCCTGGCCTCCCAAAGCCCGCCTTCTGTTCAGGGGCGCGGTTATTGAGGGAAGGGGAACGTGGGCGCACTCCGTGGGGGGCACGTCTAAAAAACTTGAAGGGTTCGCGGAAACCTTGCGCATTTTCTGCAGTAGAACCCAGTGCCTAGCCTACGCCATTCGTGCTGCGAGGCCCTCTTGGCATGCTCGATCTTCGGAGTCCGAACGGGGCGAAGGGCTGAGGGGCGGGTTTCGGTCCACGGGTCCGCTCGAATGGACTCCGCCAGGGTCCTCCTCGCACGTTTCCGATCAAAAAGTCTCTGTGTCCGCCTCGTCAGTGGCAGGGGCCCTCCGTGCGAACTCCGATCAACCTATGGAGGCTCCTCTGGATGCAAGCTCGTCAGTACGCTCATTGCCCGCGGCTCGCCAAAGTTCCCGAGGCGCGAAGATGTCCTCGGCCTCGCGGCGGGAGGTGGCCCATTCTAGGGTGGCAGGGTGGGGCCCGCGAGCTCCGGGACTCTGAACCCGAAATCGGCATTCAAACAACTGAGCGACGTAGCCAGATGCCGGCCTCTGCCCCAGCCGTGCACGGGCGGAATGTGATCTGCGACATAACGGGGCGGGCCCTGCGAGCATTCGAGGGCCTGCATGAACGTCGTGACTCGGCCCTGGGGGCCGTTTGTCGGGTGCCTCCGAAGCTGCGCGCCGCGATGCCCGCGACAAGGGCCCATCCACTTGCTGGAAGGGCTTCGAGGGCGCGCGCTCCCGAGCCAACTCTTCTGCGACGCGGTTCCGACGAATATAAGCCCCCCGAGGTCGAAGGGGGGGTCGTGTCCTCGACACTCGCGGGGCCTCGCAGCTAGCGCGAGGGCCGCGCCTCGTGGCCAGCGCTCGCCCGAGGGAGGAGGCGAACCGACTTTTCATTGTCAGCATGGCCAGCGTTGCATGGACATGCCCACGCTCTGTGGAAGAGTGCGTCAGGCTCCAGGCTACAGCGCGGGCGCCGCGCGGGGGCCTAGTAACCCCTCGGCGCTGGCGGGCCCACTTGCCGCCCGAGACGGCCGCCACGACGAGGGCCCAGAGGTCGTCGCCGCCGCGCCACTGGAGCTGCTGCAGCTCGCGGCTCGCTATGAAGGCGCCAGCGCCACTCGCGACGTCCGTCGGGCCCTGGCGCAGGAACGCCTGCCTCGCCGGAGCGCTCGTGCTCATCCAGGAGCTCGACGTGATCCGCCGCCGCCTCCGCGAAACCGCCCCGGGCGCGGTCGGGGAAACGCCGGCCAATGTCGCCCCCAGTGACCCAGACATCGCGGTCGTGGAGCGTCGCGACGGTGGCTGAGACAAGGCCCGCTCACGTCCCCAGCGGCGCTCTCCCGCAGCGCGGAGCCTCCTGGCGGCGAGCTGCCAGGCCTTGGCGACCCTGGCGCGGTGCTCAGGGTGGCCAAACCACAGGTTTCAGCCAAGCAGTCAGCTGCTCGCGCGGCACACTCTTGGCTGGGTCCGCCCTGCTGTCCACCATGGCGAGGGTGCTCGTGAGGCACTTGCCTGGGCCTCGGCCCAACGGTCGCGCGGGCTGCCTGCCTCCTCAGCCTGGGGATCCCGTAATGCGGCAGGTCGTGCACCTGGTGGCAGCGGATGTCCTGGGCTCTCCACCCAGTCGTCCAGGGGCCCGTGGTGACCGCCTTGAGCCTCGCCATCTTCCTGTGCGACGCATGATGGCGCTGGCCCTCTTGGCAGCCCTCTGCATCCTCTGCGTGCCCTGGCGCCTGGCGCGCGTGCGGGCCGCGTTGCAGTCCGCCCCGAGGCCTGTGTAGCTGCCCTCCGCCTTTGCTGGAACTCCTCGCTGCTGGCGCCCACTGTCGATGGCCACGGCGAGCTTCGGGGCCCCCGCGACGGCCGTGGTCTTGGGGGGGGGCTGCGGGGCCAGCGCTCTGTAGGCATACCCTAGTCTCGACCCTCTCTCGATCAGCTTCTCCTCGACGTTGGCCTGCGCGCCCTACGCCCCCGGCGCGGCGTTGCCCGCGAAGGTCCGGGGGTCCGTGTCCGCTTCCTTCGCGAGCTGGGCGCGGTAGGGGTGGGGCCAATGAAGGCCTTGCCGATCCTCGCTCCACGCGGGGGGCCCGCCACGATGGACCGCGTCGGCTGGGCCCCCCTGCTGACCCACTGCCCCCCCTTCAACAACCTCGGGCCCATGGGCATCTGCTGCCTCAAGCAGCGCGCGATGGGCCGGAAGCTCTGGGTCAACGCGTCCTGGACCACCCTCGGGATGCTGATGCTGTCGAAGTACTTCGCCGGGTCGAGCAGCCCGGTCGCCGCGGCTTGTCGCGGCGACGCCAAGCTCGGCGGCGCGGAGGCGCGAGGCCTGGGGGGGCGACGACCCACGTGTGGCAGCATCCCAAAACTCGCCCAAGGCCTCGCTCCACCTGCTGGCGATCCCGCTCCTCAGCTTGCCCCGTGTCTCCATGCCGAAGGGGGGCTGGCCTGGCGCCCTGTCGCAGCCGCCGTTGTCCTTGGGGGCGATGGTGCCGATGGTGGCCGGCATCTGTCTGGGCCATGCCCCCCTCCTCGATGTCGTTGAGACGGTTGATCACGCCCTGCCTGCCCTCGGCGGGCAGAGTCTGGATCTCTACGGGGCCGAGCGCGTCGCTGCCCTTGGCCATGGCGGCGCTGAGGCGCCCCTGGGCGACGCTGTCGTCGGCCCACTTCCTCTCCCAATCGTCCGCCCTGCTGCTCATGATCTGGTCGGGGGCCGCCGCTGCGCGCCCCTCCTGTTGCCTCTCCGCGGTCTCTGGCCCGGGCGCCCACGTTGTGGAGGCGCCTCGGGGCGCCCTTCCACATCTCGAGGGCCTATCTCTGGAGCGACTTCCTGCGCTAAGCGAGCGCCGTGGCGGCGGCGCTCGACTGGCAGCGCTCCGCGATCAGGGCGATGGGCGCCACCTCGTCGTCGGGGAGTTCCTGGGGGCCTGCGCGTGGCTCCTTCCAGCGGCCGAGATCGACCCCCTCGTTCTCGTCGTAGATGAGGTTGAGCTGGGTGTCGTCGGCCTTCTGCGTCAGCTCGGCGATCTTGCTGCTGCAGCGCTCCGCCCCGCGGGCCCTGCCCGCGCGCCGCGACATCTCGCGCCTCCCGAGCAGGGTGGCCAAGAGGCGCCGCCACTCGAAGCGCTGGTCGCGCAGGCGTGCTCTCGCCAGCGTGGGCGGGGACCTCGCCCGCATGGTGGCGCGGCCCCTACCCTTGCCAGCATGGGCCTCTCTCGTCCTGCTGGACGTCGCGGCGCTCCTGCGTGGCCAGCTCCAGCGCCGTGGCCCGCCTCGCGAAGTGGCCGCCGGCGCGCTCTTGGCCTTGGGGGCCCCTCGCGAGCAGGAGGTGGTCCTCGTGCAGCGCGGCGTCCTTTCGGGCCACTGCCCCCTGCCGCATGCGTGCGCGGCGTTGGGCGGCTTCCTCCGTCAACTCTCCTCTGGCGGCGGCATTCCTCTCGCCGCTTGCGCCGCGCGCTGGAAGGGGGGGGGGGCGGCCCCTGCGGGCGGGGCCCGCTTGGGCAGCGACGGGCCTGCCTCCCCCGAAGGCTGCCGCGCCGACGGCGGTCCTGCACCTTGCGTCGGCCGCCCGTGCGGGCGGGGCGCGCGGTGGGCGGCCTCTGCCAGGGGGTCCATCCCGGGGCCAGGTTCCCTTTCTCTACTGCCGCGCGCGCCTCTGACCACCGCTCGGCCTGGGATGTGGAAGGCGGTGGTCGGCGCAGGCGCTGCATCCGCAGGCTCGTCAACAGCATCGTGAATCTCGTCGAAGGCTTCCTGGAGACCTTCCTGCAGCCTCGCTCTGCTCTCGTTTCTGGCCTTCTGCAAAGCCTTCTGTCGCTTGCCGTTGGGGTTTGCGGTATTCTTGGGTCAGGGGACTGTCGGGGGCGCGCGCGCGAGGTCCATCTTGTGGTGCAACCAGCGATGCTTGCAGTCCGCTATCGTGAGCTTCGGGCCTACGTGGTCTTTCCAAGGCACCTCTTCAACCGCCTGCAACCTCGTGCTGGCCGCCGCTCACTTGGTGACAATGGCGAAATCGATGACGTTGCCTGCCCCTCTATCGCACGTGGCTGTGCAGCTCTCCACCGTGAGCCTCTCCGCGTTGAGCTTGGTGAGCCACTGGGTCTTGTCCCACTCCTCGGGCACGAGGCTTCAGTCGCCCAGGATGACCCACGGGTCCCTCAGCTGCCGGAGGATGGCTGCGAACCTGATGAGGGTCTGCTAGCTGGCGTGGCTCGAGATAGGCGCTGATGACGATGAGGTTGTCCGAACTGTGTCAGCACGAAGGGCATAATCCAGCGAATGGGTCTTGTCCTGATGCACCCCTGGCTGTTTCTCTCCAGGTTTCGATCGAAGTGGTCTGGATCGGCTTCTTGGCGAGGATCCACTCTCCTCCCGTCGTCCCTGCCGAAGATCTGCCAATGGGGCGCGCAGCCGCCGCCACAAGCTTCCAGCCGCCCCGTGACCGCGCGCACCTTGCAGACAGCCTCCTCGTTCGCGTGGGACTCAACCATGCCGACGATGTCGTACTCGCCCGCCTGCGCCCTCATGAGCCCTCTGGCCTGCGGGCCCCGTTCGGTGATGTTTGCGAAATCGCCGTTGCGCCTTTGGTGTTTGGCCTTGCGGTTTTGTTGTTGCTGGCTGCCTCCTGTTTCAGAACATCTGCAGCCTGGGCCCATGCGCCACTGGCGGGGTTTGTCCCGTTAGGGGAGGAGGAGGAGGAAGGGAAGGAGGAGGATGAGGAAAAAGAGGGGGAGGAGGACCGGTGTAAACCCAGGCGCCATCAAGCTGGAATACACCTTCCCTCCGAGCTCCCTCTTCCTAGGTCCCTACAAAAGCCCGACGCCATGGATCAACCTGACTGCTGCGTCTTGACGATCCCGAATCGAGCCAGAACGCCATGTTTGGTACCTCGCGACTGCGCACCGGCGTAACTGCTGCACCATCAGAATCCGGAACTTTTCCAGAACGCCACTTCTGGTACGTTGGCCATGCAAACTGTTGAAACGAGCGCGCGCAGTGCTAAAGCGAGAGCCACAATTTGGAAAAGGAACCGCCCCCAATCCGTGAAATTCATACAGATTGGTTAAACGAATGTGCGCGGTGCGAAAGCGAAAACCACATGTTGAAAACGGGTGACCCCCAATCCGTGAAATTCGTTGAATTTGTTTAACAAATGCGCGCGGCGCTAAGGCCAGAACCACATGTTGAACATGGGCGACCCTTAATCCGTCAAGCCCTTGCGCATTTACAACAACGAATGTGCGCGGCGCTAAGATGACAACCACATGTTGAAAACCACCCGCCCTCCATGTGTGAAACCGTTCTCAATGTTTCAACTCCAGGGTCATAAATGGTGAAAAAGTCTCCGGCGAAACGCCCGGCCCGCCCTAAACAACTGGCCTCGGGGTGCGACAAGGAATGACGATTTATAAAGAGAAAGACTTGAGGAGGGGGATGAGAAAGAGAAGGAGGAGGAGGAGGAGGAGGAGGAGGAGGAGGAGGAGGGTGAGGAAGAGGAGGAAGAGGAGGGTGAGGAAGAGGAGGCGGAGGAGGAGGAGGAGCAGGAGGAGGAGGACGCGGGCGGCTGCGGCTCCGCTGTTCCCCGTCGCCCCTGCTGGGGACGACTCCTGGGGGCCGGCGATCTGCCCCCGCGGCGGGCGGCGGCCACGGCGGCGGCTGGGTCGGCGGGCGGCCTCCTGGCGGCGCGGGCACGTCGCACGGTGTGGCTGCCGGGGCCTTGGCTGCTCGGCGCGGCGTGTCGCACGACGGCCTGGGTGCCCCCCGTCGTGAGGCGGGCGCCCTCGCTTCGGAGTCTCATCTACCAGAAGGCCTGCTGAACCCCGTTTCGCACCTCCTGGGGCAGACAAAGGGGTGGCAGTGGGGGGGATGGCAGGGGGGCTCGCCGCGTAGCGTGCAAGCCTGCCGCCACATGGCGCTCGCCTTCAACGATCGCCTCTTCATGCTCTCCTGAACCTGCCTGTGTCCGTCCCGTGCGGGCGCGGCCGCAGTCGGCGCCCACCACCACACACATCTCCTCCTTACTTCTCTCACATATTGTGAGCATGTCCCGAGCGAGGCGCTGGCTTCTACAACCCAAGGGGAGGGGCGCCAATACAGCTACACACCCAGCTACTCACAAACAAACAAACACTCTCGGCGAGACGTGACAGGACAATGAGATGATACACAGATGGGGATCTCCACGTGGAGTAATTCTCCCAAGGTTGTTGACAAACCTTAGGGTTCTTGCCTTTTCGGGCTTCCGACGCTCTGGCCCAAGACGGCCCAAACACTCCAACGGGCATGAATGATGCACATCTCCGATGTCACCCCAGCGCGTCTCGGGGACAATTCTCCTGAATGCGATAGACAATCGCTTGTCCTCCTGAAAAGCCTCGTCGTCCTCCACCCTCCTCCTCCTCCTCCTCCTCCTCCTCCTCCTTCCACCGCTTCCTCCTCCTTCCTGCTCTACCCCGTACCTCCTCCTCCCTCTTCTTCTTCCTCGCTCTCCCTCCCTGCTCAACCCCTCCTAAGAAAACAAAACCCATTCGTACCACCAGAACCAAACGTGCTCGCAGGCCAAGCTGGGCGCCTCTTGCGACCTGTCCTTCTCTGGAGGTTACGGAGCTCGGATGTCGGGCGGGACGCTTCCAAAATGCGGCTCTCGCCAGAGCGCCGTGCACAGTCGTTTGAACAACTCCCAACAGGTACAAAGATTGAGGGCCGGTGGCTTCGAACATGCTGCGGCTCTCGCCCTGGCGCCGCGCAGATTGGTCTTAAACGCTTACAGCATACACGAGGGTGGAGGCTGGCTCGTCAAGACATGCAGATATCGCTCGAGACTTCCTCGGATTCCATGGCCCCAGACTCCCGATTGCGAAAAAGTGGCATGGATGTCCAAAGTCTGAGCCTGGGAAACGCTTACACGAATGGAGAGCAGATGCTATTCTTAAAAACTGGGCTATCGCTGGATAGAACTTCATCATCCTACCTCTTGGCGTCTCTAGTTTCTAGACAGCTGGAAGGCGGATCGGTTTGCAAGCCTGAGTGGCAGGCTCACCTGGCACTCGTTACCTAAGGGCAGCTTCTCCCGCAGTTGAGGAGCGTACTTGTAGGGACCTGTGGGTTGCAGCATTGTTGGCGCATCCTGGTTTTACCCTGGTTCCCCGTCCTCCTCCGCCTCCTCCCCTCCTCCTCTTTGCCCCCCTCCTCCTCTTCCTCTTCTTCGCCCTCGCTCCTCTTCCTCCTCCTCATCATCCCCATCAACCCCCTCCCTTCTGCTCCTCCTCCTCCTCCTTCTACTCTCCTCCTCCTCTTCCTCTCTCTTCATCTTCCCTTTTCCTCCTCCTCCTCCTCCTCCTCCACTTCCTTCCTCCCCTCTCTTCCTCCCTTTCGCCCCCTTCTCCCTTTTCCTCTTCGCCCTCCTACTCTTCCTCCTCCACGTCCTCCTCCCTCCTCCCCTCCCTCACTCCCCCCCGCTCCGAGGTCCTCATCCCTCCTAGCGGGGAGCCCTCTTGCGTTCCAGCGGCCGCAGGCGCACTTCGTCCAGCAAGGCCTCGCGGGGGGGGGGGAGGGGGCGACCGCCGGTCGAGGCGAGGACAAGGGATGGGAGAGGAGGCAGTGGGAGAGGGAGAGGGGACCTCGAGGATAGGAAGGGCGGAGTGGTGGCCCGAAGACTGATGCTTTCGACGGAGAGGGAGAGGAGAGGCCTCGAGGAGAGCTAGGGCAGATAGGGGGGGTCTCGAAGATCGATGTTTTTTGGATGCCTCCAGAAGGCCCCCAGAACCCTTTGTGGGGACCTGCGGGGGGGGTCGAGCTGAGGAGCCCCTCTTGGCACTTGGGCACCTATGTTGTGAGAGTGTCTCTGGCGGTTTGTTTGCTTCGGCGCCCCGAGCTTCACTCGCTTGGTGGTCCAATGCTCATCGCGAGAAAGCAGGCGCGGCACTTGGGCACCCCAAGGGGCGGCCCACCAAGGGGGTATGCCGCTCCACTTTTCGTGCCCATTTTGTGGGGATGTCTCGAATGGTTTGCTTGCTTCGGCGCCCCGGACTTCACTCGTTTGGTGGTCCAATGCTCACCGCGATAAAGCAGGCGCGGCAATTGGGCACCCCAAGGGGGAACCGCCAGGGGGGATCTCACTCCCCCGTCCTGCGGATGTCTCAAGCGATTTGCCTACTTGCATGCCCAACATCCTCTGCTTTCAAAGCAGATGGCGAGGACGTCTCGGGCGAGGCGCTGGTTTGAGCACTCCAAGGTGGGGCGCTGGAGGAGTATTTCACAGGCCCGTTCGCGCCCAGATCGAGGGAAGGTCTCAAGCGGTTTGCCCGTTTCGGCACACAGGGCTCGTCGTTGGACTTGCGTTACCTAGACGCCTCCAGACCTCACTCATTCACTTACTTGCTCACACACTCACCTCCCCCTCCTCTTCCTCACCCAGACGCATTCACACTCAGACATACGTATCATCACCCCTTCCTCGCTCAGTCTTCATCACACTCAGACTCAACCACACTAAGATTCACTCATACCTGGACTCACATTCAGACTCGCTCACACTCAGGCTCACTCACGTTCAGACGAGCTCACACCTGGAATCACTCACTCTCGGATTAACCCTCTCTCAGACTCACTCAAACTCAAACTCACTCGTACTCAGACTAGTCTGTACTCAGACTCCGACGCATCATACTCATACTCAGGCCCACTCATACTCTGATACTCACTCACACTCAGACCCACCCATCCTCAGATGCACTCATAGTCAGGCCCACTCGTACTCATGCTCATCCCTACTCAGACTCATACTTATCAAGCGAATACTCGGACTTACTCACATTCATGTTCACTCACACTCAGACTCACCCATTCCTAGGTTCACGTATACCTTGGTCCACTCGTACCCAGACTCCTTCATATCTAGACTCACCCACATTCCTCAAACTCAATCATACCAAGGCTCACTCACACTCACACTCACTCACACTCAGATCACTGACGCTCATATTCACTCACACTGTTATCTCTTTTGGTGGTCCACTGCTCCCTCGCTCTTCTACTTGTGCTCCCCTCGTGTTTCCTGGAAGATGCCCAGAGGAGGAGGATGTGACTGAAATCGTCGCTTTCGTCGTCGTCTTAATCGCGCCCGACGTCTACGCCGATTCGCTCTCACACCTAGATGCTCACAGACAGAGTTCCGCAGCGAGACGTGGCAGGAGCATGAGATGCACATCTGGGGATCTCCGCGTCGAGTAGTTATTGGCTCCCTCTCCTATTGCTCCTCCATTTGCCTACTGCTCGTGCAAGAGGCTCCTAAAACGACTCGCGGGGGCATCGGTTCGGGATGGGCTGATGGGGATTACGCGAAACGTCAATTAACTAGAGTCGAAACGTCAATAACTAGAGATACATGACACTCCCTCTATGGCGTGTTTGGTCCCCAACGGTTTTATTATACGCTGGTTAGTCGGTGTTCAACAAAAGATGCGTCTCGTACCGTCGCACCACGAGCCAACCGCTGCCACGCACAGGCTTGGCAAATTAATGCAAACACTGCATCCCTAGATCCACAACTCCAATGCTCCCGGGCGCCTATGCTAGTCTGGTTGTGTGACGAACTGGGCAACCCAACACAACTTTCTCCTAATACTACATAGGTCCCCCATCTCGGCCCTTGATGCCTGGCTCTTGTGCATGGCACTTCGGTAGGACAAACTTGTGACCCGAATGGCAGTCGTTGTGTCGATCACTAGCTTGTAAGTTCATGTGCGACCTGAGAGGGCAGGTGCGCCGCTGTGCAGCAGCAAGGGTACGAATAGGAAATGCTGTCCAGACGGGGCACCCGAACGGACACTTCGAGTCCTCGGCCCATACAGGTTCCCAGGAGGCCCCAAGAGGCCCACAAGAGTTTCCCAGAAGCCCCAAGAGGCTCCCAAGAGGCCCTCAAGAAGCATTTAAGAATTTCTTTTTAGTTGCGAGAGGCCCCGAGAGCCTTCCGAAGAGACTCTAAGAAGCATCCCTGAGGATTCTGGTCCACGTCAGAGTCTTCTTCTTCGCCGCCGCCGCCGTTGTCGTCGTCGTCGTCGTCCCCCTTTAGGGTCGGCAACGCCAGTGGTAAGTCCTTCGCAATAGGAAACGCTGTCTGGATTTTCGCCCTGGGCAACAGTACGTATTCGCCTCTCACGCCCTGTGGCGTCGTGCACGCCCCTCTCTCGGCGGCGAGCAAGAGGGGGAAATGAGATGGAGAAGGCCTTATCAGAAGGCGGCGAGGCATCTCAGAAGCCCTCCGGCCTTCCGAAACATGTCTTCTGTGTCTTCGGGGAAGGTGTTATAACACTTCTCAGGCAGCCGGGGGGCTTCCGAGCCTTCTGAGATGTGGACGCTCGAAAAGGGGACCAACACATGTTGTCCCAAACCATTGGCGGCCGCTGTCGGGCCGGCGGCCGTTTGTCTCAAAAATGGGCACAGGCCGCGGCGGCGCGGACAGCGAATCCGCTCAAAACGATCAGGAACCGCTGTTGGGCATTGTACCCATTCTTCCTGTACCAATTTCGTTCGTGTCGATGATCGGGAGCGGGGTCGCAAATCATGGCCGGCGGCATGTGCGCGGCCCAGTGGGGGACCAGGCACGTCCTGAAGCAAGAAGACGCGCCATGAAACCCGAGGAAAATTCATGGCCCACGCCATGATGTCCAACCCCACCTAGTCATCACCCCCCTCTTTTGAGCAGGGACCGACCGTCCCGGCATTCCTATAGGCTTACCACAAAATGTTATTAGAGCCCCGAAATGTTCGAATAACAATTCAATGCTCTTAGACCATAAACCCGATGTGTCAAAACAAAACAGTCCCAGCCAGAAATGTTCTAAGAACACTTCGTGGAAACCACGAAAGGTTCTTAGAACATTGTTTGGTAGGCCTATAGGCGAGCCAGGACGCTTCGCAACTGCTTGACTCTTGGCCGCCCCCGAGATGAGAAGGCCCGCCCCTTCTCGCTTCCTCCCCCCCAGGCTCGCTGCCGACTCTCACCATGGGCTGACCTGGCGTGTCGCTTGTTGGGGTTGGGGCCTCTCTGGCGGCCCCTCACCTCCTTCCCTGCTGTGATGGAGCCCGCCCGGAGGGGAGCGGCTCTCACAAAACGCGGCCGCCGCCCTCTTTTTTGCCGCGGCTGCCCACCCTGGCCCTACCCCTCTCGCGAGCTCCCCCTCCCCTCGTCCTCCCCCCAAACCCAGGACGCCCTGGAAACCTCCCAAAGCCCCCCGGGCTCCGCCGAAAAATTCTGCCCCTCCGCATGCGTCCAACGGTGTGACCTCTTCGACGCGTAAACCTTTCCTCTCCCGGGCTCTCGGCGCTTCAGCTGGACTGGTCTTTCAATGCGAGCCGTTAACTGATGGCCCTGCCCGAGGTCAGTCTCCATAGGCCCCAACTTGCGAGAGCTGGGAACCCACAAACTGCATGAGCACAAACTTTCGGAGGTCAGCGCAGGTTGCTTGGGTCGGCGCTGGAACTTCCTCCTCCCATGGCGCGCGGATCGCGCCATGGGCCGTGCCGGGGGCTCCGCCAGAGGGAGCTAAGATACGAGACAAACTATAAGTTCGTTTGTCGTTCGAAAACATCGGCCATGTCTGTTTTCTTCTACCCGCCAGATGAATTTTTTGAGCGGTACCTGGAGATCAGGAGGTTCCGTAACACCAACCTACCACGACCGCGACCACGACAACCACGGCCACGGCAACGATGACGACAGGGACAGCGACAATGACGACAACCACTACGACGATGATGATGATGACGAAGACGCCGTCGTCGACGACGCCGAGCACGAAATTCCGCTCAAAATCGAACACCATACCGCTCCTGGGGCCCATCCTCGTCGCTGGATAGTCCTGAATGACATTTAACGGGTCCGGGGCCCGAAACGGGCCTTCAGATGCCGAGCATGGCGAATAGATCGCATCGATCCTCGAACGTCAATGTCGATTCGACCCTCCTCCTCTCCAAGCGCCCCGAGCCTTCGACTGCGCCAGGATCAACCGACATCGAGTCGAAAGTCGGATGGCATGGGAATGTGCGTCGGATCGGGCTGTAACGCATCGGCACGGAGCCGACATCGAATCGAAGCGGCTGCGCCAGGATGCATGACTGCGCCCTGCAAGCACCTGGCCTCATTTACACCGCTGCAAGCTTGAAATCGAATCGGATCGAGCCCGCCCAAATCGAAATCGCATCGGATCGATTAACATAAAAGAAATGGGTCCTGAGGTAAACGATCGCTGGATCCTGGAGGCCTTCCAGCCCCTCATCCCAGGGGCCTGGGGAAGGCCCTTCGAAGCCAACAAATGGCGAGACACCTCCGGACCCGTTTCCCTCATGACCGTTTTCCTTCAGGGCCAGCCCTCTGGTTTTCGGCCAGAGCGACTCGACGAGGGTCAGCCACTGAAAGGCTGGAAAGGCCTCCATGAACCCACAGAGGCATCCGAAAACATTGAATCTCGACATGGGCGAACCGATCGGCGCGGCACGGCCCCCCGCAGACATCCGGCGCTCCCACTTTTTCGATGCGTGGACCCCTAAAAGTCTGGACCACTTCTCTAAGGCCGGTTGTTCATTCTGACTGGTTTTTGCCGGTCCCGGGGCCTGCTGAAGGCCCTGGGAGGCCGAAAAGAACCCAAATCCAGCCGCCCCATTGATTTCGGAGCGTCGGATCTCTTGGGCCTCCGTAGAGGAAGAGAAAACTGCACCACCATAAACTTTCGACGGTCCGCGCGGGCCGTCGAACGCTTGTGCTCCGACGTTGCTGGCAGCGCCCCTGGCCCAAGGTGCCCCGAACATTCCCGAGGAGGCCCCCGCGCGACTGCCTTGGGGGCACCCTGTGGGCCAGGGATACCCTTCGCAACCACCGATCTGTTCATGCAACTTTTCTTCTTCGATGAGGGGCAACGATAGGGGGACGAGCCTAGGGGGGGATGCACCGACCTGGCATCGGCGATGCATCGCCGACAGATCGGCGATGGGCCTCCGACAGTGAATCCGCACCTTCCTGGGCAGGTTGGGGCTATCGGGCCCCTGTCGGCGATCAATGGGCGATTGGGGGGGTCGATGCATCCCCCCCCTTGAGCCTGTCCCCCCCTATCTCTGCCCCTGGTTCGACTGCTGCGCAGGAGCGGGCGTCTGGTCTGCAGCGGGCGCCTCCACCGCCGAGGCGCCGGCGTCGGCCAGGGTCCGGACGCCCGCCGCGTGCTGGGCCTCCGCCCAGGTGCGCGCCTCCGCGACCGCCCGGGCCGCGGTCGCCTCGGAGGGCCAGGCTCGAGGTCGGAGCACTCTCCGGCGCACGCCACAGGGGGGCCCAGACATCTGGCGCCTCGGAGGAAAAGGAGACGCGGGTTGTTCATGGTTTTCGGCTTCTCGGGGCCCTTCATCGTTTTCGGTTTCTCGGCTTCGTTTTCGGCTTCGGGACCGTCGAAAAAACGACTTCGAGATGAAACGCCGGTCCCGGGGAAGTGGTCGAGAGGTCGGGGGCCGTGTCTCGAAACAGTTTTGATGGTCGATTATTGTATTGGCCTTTCGATATTCCATTATGTATAAATTTCTTTTCATACCCATCGCAAGGAACAACCGGGCACATGATTCGTACTTCCGAGCTCGTGCCTTTCATAAGCAATTTTGTGCAACTTCCCTGATCCGTCGTCCCCTCCCCCTCCCCGTTTTCCCCGTTCCATCGTTCCTGGACCCCCCATCGCTTCTGCCTCTTTCAAAAAGAGGAAAAGTGTTTGGATCTCCCGTCGATGGACTCGAAAATCGGAGGCGAGGACACGGGTGGGAATTGGGGAGAGACGACGGGAATGCGGGGGGGAGGATGGGAGGAGAGGAAGGAATGGAGGGAGGAGGAGGAGAAAGAGGAGTAGGAAACACCATCAAGTCGAGTTCGAGTGCGCCGAAACGGGGGATAGAGGGGAGGATGATGATGATGAGGAGCAAGAGGAGGTTATGCACACGCGCAAAATCGTCAAGGACAGCCTGACCGACATCATAAGCACGGGCGCCATGTATGACCATGCCCATGATCCACATCGGCGAGATCGGCACGATAATGATCAGATGCTGAACTACCTCATCGGCGTAGTATAAAACAGCCAGGACACCAGGGCAAACAGACTAGCCACCCACCCGCCCCATTCACCACGACGGCGAACCAGAAGGTGCTAACGCAATGCGTCGGTCACCAACTGTGCAATATAATGGCGCACACAACCGCAAACGACACCCAACATGTGACATCCCCGCACGACTACACCCACTGCGGCTGCGATGAAATCGTAAACCACGCACCTTGTGGCGCAATTCGGACAGAGGACCAGCACCCTTCGCAACAACGGCGTTCCAGAGAGACATAGCAAAAAGGCGCGACCCACCACTTGAACTACCTGCTGCAATACCAGGAGGAGGAGGAGGAGGAGGAGGAGGAGGAGATTGCGATTGCGCTGACTGCGGTGACCATGAGCAAGCCTGGGCGCCCTTACCTAACACCCTACACCTCCATGGACGGGTAGAAGAGGATGGCGTAGAAGACAACGAGCGAACACACCGACGCGATGCAACCCACATTGAGGAAATAACAACGCCCCTCCAGCAAAACCCCAGGAAGGTGGCGAGCTGCACGCTTCTTTCAACCACCAGCCACAAAAGAAAATGAAGATAACACACAACGAAAATCACAATGCCGAAATGTTGCACCAACGCCTGCTTGCCATAACCGCCACACCTATCACCACGAGGCCGCGTACTCCAAGACGCGTAACGCATACCACACCCACACGATGTGGCCCACGAGCACAATCCGTGGCAATGCATGGTGAACAACCTCGCTCCGCGAGAAGACAAGCACAAACTAAAGCACTGATGAATACACCCGGCAAGCGTAGGACCCGCAGAGAAGTAATAAGCTGTGCCACCTCCAGCAATACTCACAAACTATGTGGCGAGCTGCACGCTACTTTCAACCACCAGCCAGAGAAGAACACGATAAAACCTCACCACATGCAATACACTGCCGAACACTATGCGAAAACGTCCTGAAGGCACACCAGGCCCGCGGGCGATGGGAATGCTTTCCTATCGGCTCACCCCTCGAGCCCAAACTTGAAAATGCCTGAGCCCCATCCCACCAGAAATCGACTGCACAATGACAACCAATGGAAAGCGCCCAGACCCGCAAACAAGTACAGGCTGCCTCACCGCAGTGGACCCCGTGCCCACAATGACCACCAGCACGCCCGGCAGCCCGTCCACCAAGAAGTCCTGCCTCATAACACGACGAGACCACCGGGAAAATTAACTGCAGCGGCAAGTACCCGAAAAGAAGCGAACCAAGTCAACCCGGCGTTGCCAGGAGCACCTCCCCACATTAAGCGGCAGGGGGCGGCGCACCTCAAGCGGCAGGGGGCGGCAGGACCTCAAGCACCTCAAGCAGCACCTCAAGCACCTCAAGCACCTCAAGCGGCAGGGGGCGGCAGGGGGCGGCAGGGGGCGGCGCACCTCAAGCAGCACCTCAAGCGGCGTTGCCAGGAGACCTCCAGCGGCAGGGGGCGGCGCACCTCCCCACATGAAGCCCCGGGACGACGGCCGAGCGGCGTTGCGGGGGGGCCACTCGGGCCGCCGTGCCTTGAGAGAAGGAGGCGGAGGAGGAGGAGGAGGAGGCGACGCCGCTGCCATTTTCATTCGAGTCCTGACGAGCCCCAGCAGGGGCGAAACGTTGACACGCGTAGTGAAAAGGCACGGGCTTGAGAGCGCCATACGAGTAAGGTGTGAGGAGGAGGAGGACCTTTTGACCAGGCACGGGGGCGTGCGACAGAGAGAAAGGGAGGAAGGGAGGGGAGGAAAGAGGGGGAGTAGAGCGAAACGACCGCCCGAGCCAACGAGGCCACCTGAGGAAAAGGCAAACATCCCAGACCTGCGCAAGCCAGGCTACGACCCTCCAGAGGGAGGGTGGTGCACTGACCCCGCAGAGGACGCAGCCGCATCAACCGCCTTGACGGGCAAAACAGGCTCCGCCAAAAAATCGCGCTCATCAAAGGCGCCTTGCAGGGCCGCTGGTACCCCTTCACCGGGGGAACAGGCCTGCCTGGATGCGCGACAAATTCTTGCGCCCCTCGCGTGAGGGTTCACACTTGGCGGCAAGCTGTCTGTCGTCCACTGTGCCGTACTTCCCACACACAGAGCAAAACGTGAGCATCTACTTTTCCCACCTCTGAGGCGTGTGAGAGGGATGAACAGCGCGGCCGCCTACGAGATCTGCATTCGCTCCCGCCGCAAACTCGGCTGACGCACGGGCGCCTTTGCAAACAGTACGGGCCGCGCAGATCGCCCGGGACTGCACTTCGCCTTACAACGAGCGAAACTACGCTCAGATCTCTCAGGGGCCAGCTTCAGGGCAGACGGGGCGGGGCGTCGCTCCTGCCGCTGCCGCGCCCCACTCCATGGGTCGGCGGCAGCGGAGAGGGCAAGAGCGCGGCGCGCTCTCGCAAGGACCAGGGTGACCACCGCATCCCAGTGGTCCGTGCGAGGCGTGCATTGACGAACAGACTCCTCCCACCCCCTCTGCGCCGCGTGCGCCGCCGCACCCGCCTCCTCATTAGCCAGGGCGTTGCTCTGAATCCCACCAGCCCTTTGGGCGTGAGTGGTTTACAGAGCCCGCTCTGTTCTCAACCCTCCTTCCCCTTCGGGGAGGGGTTTACCCCTCCCCCTACCCCCTCCCCCTGGGCCTGGAGAGGTCCCACCGCGGGTGGTCAGGGGAGTCCTTTTCGACTCCTGGGAGGGCTAAAAACGACACCCCTCACTAGGATTCTGGTCCCGACGGGGGGAGGAAGAAAAAACCCTCTCCTCTTCTTTGAAGCCCAAATCATTGATTTTACTACGGTTTTGGCCCCATTTTGGCCTTCTGAGGGGGCAGCGCTCATTAAAGCTCCCCTCTTCCTTCAAGGCAACATCATTGATTTTACGAAGGTTTTGGCCTCATGTTGCCCTTCTGAGGGGGCAGCGCTCATTAAAGCTCCCCTCTTCATTGATCGACTTCCTCCAAGATGGCCCCAAGAAGCGCCCAGGAGGCCCCCAAGAGGCCTCCAAGAGGCCCCCAAGATGCCCCCAAGAGGCCCCCAAGAGGCCCCAAGAGGCTCCCCCGAGGCACCCAAGACGCGCCTGGAAGCCCCTGGGGCCGCCAAGAGGCCCCCAAGACGCCCCAAACGGCCTCCAAGAGGCTCCCAAGAGGCCCGAAGAGGCTCCCCCAAGGCACCCAAGACGCTCCTAGAAGCCCCTGGGGCCGCCAAGAGGCCCCCAAGACGCCCCAAAAGGGGACGAGGTGCCCGAACGCCTCACGCCACGAGGAGCCCGAACGACTCACACCAGGACGAGGGGCCCGAACGACTCACACCACGAAGAGCCCGAACGACTCACACCAGAAGGAGGGGCCCGAACGACTCACACCAGGACGAGGCGCCCGAACGACTCACACCACGAGGAGCCCGAACGACTCACACCACGACGAGGGCCCCGAACGACTCACACCACGAGGAGCCCGAACGAGTCACACCAGGAGGAGGGGCCCGAACGACTCACACCAGGACGAGGGGCCCGAACAACTCACACCACGAGAAGCCCGAACGACTCACACCAGGACGAAGAGCCCGAACGACTCACACCACGAAGAGCCCGAACGACTCACACCAGGAAGAAGGGCCCGAACGACTCACACCAGGACGAGAAACCCCAAACGACTCAAACCACGAGGAGCGCTTTCTCTCCCTCCTCCTCCGCCTCGTCCTTCTCCCGCTCCCCCCACAAGGAGGATGTACAAGAAGGCGGGAGGAAGGAGGAACAGGGGAGATCTGCGGGGGCAAGCGGACACACACGCCTGCAAAATACAACTGTCGGCATGCTTCGCAAGAGTTGCTGTTGTGAGATGGGCTGGTGGGGATACGCGAAGCGTAAAAAATTAAATACGGGTGGGGTGCTCCTTCGAGGGCCTCGTCCAAGTGAGAGTGAACCCATTCTAAGTGCACAATCGTCGAAAACGCCAGAAAACCTCGAACCTCGATCCCTCCCCCCTGAGCACCCTCCTTCCCCTGACGTTGCCCCTGAGCAGCGGTGTCCTCGTCCCACTGCACGCGCCCGCGCGCCAGCAGCGTCAAGGCCTCCCTCGCGAGCGGGCGTGCCTCGTTCGCGCGCTCCGAATCGCGCAGCGCCAGGAGGAACATGGCCGCCTCGTCGCCGACCGACATAACGTCGCCGACGGGCTGGCGCGACAGCGCCAGCATGGGCGAGATGTCCTTAGAAGCCGGTTTCCTCAGACTCCCCCACGGCAACACTCCCCCACGGCAACTGCCCTCCGCCTAGACCAACCAACCCCGCCCCTCCCCTCACGGCGGCCCCGCACGCCCACCCGCCCCGACCATTTGATCCCCCCCACGCGCGCACGGCACAACACCTCCGCCCCGCCCACCCGTCAGACCCGCAGACCCCAGCAACCCTGCGCGCCCTCCAGACCCGAACTCTTCGTGCCGCCTGGGCTACACGTAAGAGTGATCTTAGGCACAAGTGACCTTTGGTGCGTGGCTTTAGAGGGCCGCGGAGGGGCCAGACCCAGGCGTGCAAGCCAGCGCAAGCCGGTGCAAGCCAGTTCTGAGGGCCCTCACTCGAAAATCACTCTGGCGAAAGGTCACTCTCACGCGCAGCCGACGCACGCACGCGCGGCACGACACCTTTCCCCCTGTAACGCTACATCCGCTCCGCGCCAGCCCCGCTCCCCCCTCCCACTGGGGCAGCCCCGCGCGCCTTCACCTACTCTCCGCCCAGACCAGGCGGCCCTCCCCTTCCCCTCCCACCAGCCAGCTCCGCGCCCATCGCTCACCTCCTCCTCTCTCTCACTATGCCTATGCCTCTCTTTCTCCCGTTTCCCCCTCCCTCCTCCTACACCTCATCCCTTCCCTCGCTGGATGTGCACGAGCCATGACGCGAGCGCCACTCATCTCTGAGAGACGGGGGGTCCTAAGAATTCGATCGGGCGCCACGGCTGTTCCAGAGCGCTTCAGACCAATCTGAGGAACTCTTTGGATCGGGAGCGGCCAGAGGGGGGCGTCCAAGAGGGGTGTGTGCAAATCGTGGCCCGAGGCACGTGCGCGGCCCAGCGGTGGGCCAGGGAACGTAATGAAATAAGAAGAGGCGCCATAAAATTCAGGGAAATATCATGGCCCACGCCATGATATCCCCCCCCTAGTCATCACCCCCCCCCTTGGCCGCCACCGATTGGAGATCTGCACCTTCTCCCCAAGCCTGCCTGACAACTCCTGCCGTGGCGTGAAAAGACGGGGTTCCGAGAGAAACGGGTACCAGACCTCCAGGGCCGTCCCCCAGAAGCGGCTGTTGATCCCGAATCGTTTCTTGACGGTCCCAAGGCCTGTGGAGGGCCCGGGATGCCGAAAGCGACGAAGACCCTCGGGACCCGTTTGCTTCATGCCGGCCGCTGCGGCGGGCCCTCCCTCCGCCCATATCTGCGATATGTCGACTGGGATGCGGGCCGCAAAGGCGGCAGCCGCGGTCGGGCGGGGTGCGTCGGGTGGTCGTCAAGGGGGGGGTAAATTAAGGGAGTGGGAAGAAACGGCCACCTTTGGACCTGGGCTCGTTTTGGGCCCCTGAAGGGCCCCTTTGGCCCGTAAGGGCCCTTTCCTGCAACCCTCGATCATCCCCTTTTCTTGACTCCCCCTTACCGGCCACCCGAGTGCAGGCCGCAAGTGCGGCAGCCGCGGTCGGATGGGCACCATGCCCAACAAAACAAATGCTGCCCAAAACCGGCAGTGGCCGCTGTTGGGCAGGCGAACACGATTCCAAATGGACAGGCGCTGCTGCTGATCTTTGAGCCAATCCTTTCAGTGCCCATTTCGATCATTCGACGGCGGACGAACCTCCCTTTAGCAAACCTCCCTTTAGTAAAAACGGCGTAGGACCGAAATCGACGGACCTGGACCCGCAAAAATGACGGCCGCGACGCCCTCTCGCGAACCGAAAACGGCCAATTCGCTAATCGACGTGTCAGGGTAGGGAGGTCTTTCAACCTCCGAATCATAATACCGAAGGCGCCCCAACGACCTCACCACGCGGTCCGGCTCTGGGACCCGAGGCCCCCATCGCCGGAGACGTCCTCGAAGAGCCGCCCGAGTTCCCAAACCGCGGGGTGACCCAGAATTCCCGTCGACTCACCACGCGGCGCGGTCACAACACGATTTGGGGTCCCCCGAGTCCTCCCTTAGAGGCCCATCTACACCGACCTCCGACCCCATCTACTCCGACCCCATCTACGCTATCTATTCCGACCCTATCTAAGGAGCCTAGACCCCTCCGCCCAGGTCTGCGATATGGCGACCAGGGCGGTGACCAGGGTGCGGGGCGCAGATGCGGCAACTTGCCATCGCTCGGACGTCCATTCCCGGTGCATGTTCCTGTTTCGTGCGCTTATGTTTTGCGCGAATATTTTCCGCACGATGATCCAGGATGATTTTCGATGGTCCTTGCCTGGGAAAATGCACACGTCCGAGCGATGCCAAGGGCAATCGCGGTCGGGCGGGAGGGCGATGCTGCCCTCGCCCGCCCGGCAGGAGGACGAGGAGCACGGTGTGGAGAAGCAGGAAGGGGCGGGAGACGAGCACCGCGAGGGGGAGCATCAAACAAGCAGGCGCACGCAGAGACAAGCAGCAGCCCAGAGAGAGGCCGGGTGCAAAGTCAGAGGGGCGCATGTTTTACGCACGCCACCCTCTCTGCCTGAGCCTCTGGACATGGGCCCTGGACCCTCGCCCGGAGGACGCACGAGAAGGAGCACGATCATGACGATGCGGAGGAGAGTCGCTTCGGGTCGGACGGAATGGGGAGACAGCAACGGATATGCTGCCCCCATCGTACTTCAGGACCGCATCCCAGACACAAAACCGAGCACACCGAAAGATATCGAAACAGTGTCTGTCCGACACGCTGGCGAAGTGCCGAACGCGTATCGCCTCTCAGGGAGGCTTCGGATCGGACGCACGGGAGAGATAGCCAAGGTCGGGTTAGCGAATCGGCTCACGTGCTGGTCTTTTCAGCGCCCCTCAGGGCCAACTGCGCCAATGCATCGAAGAAGCCGCCCAGCGGCGCGGCCGAACAACCGGGCTGCAAGCGATAGATTTCCTCCCACCTCTTTCCTCATCCCCCCCTCTCGTCCGACCCGTGACCGAGGTTTCCTGGATTGTTCAATTCCTGGCTGCGCGGGCAGGTCGCAGACTCGGAGGCTCACGAGGACAAGCAGAAGGATGATGAACACGAGGATGAGGATGAGGATGATTTTGAAAAGGAATATGAGGAATGAGTCGACGAGGATGAGGAGCACGACATGGGGAAAGTGTAGGAGGGGAGGGGTAGGCGGAATACGAGTAACATGATGAGGATGCCGAGGAGCATGAGGAACAGGAGGAGGAAGAGGAGGAGGAGAACACTAAGGAGATGAAGGAGAATGGTGGATATGAGCAGGAGGAGGAGGAGGAGGAGGAAAAGGAGGAGGATACCGAGAACGAGTCTGATTACGAGGAAGGACGAAGAGGCCTGGGAAGAGGCGGACGAGAATCTGCTTCTCCCTCGGTGCGGATCGGGACGGCCTGGACGAGGCGACTGTGCATCTGCGACTTGAGCCCCTCCTCTCCCTCGTTCTGCAGCCCCATCCGCCTCCTCCGCCTCCTCCCCTATCCCGCCTACCCCACCACCACCACCATCTCCTCCAAACCCACCTCCCCCTCCTCCCGGATCTGCGGCCTGCGACCCCCTGCGCATCAACGGCCTCGCGGGCCGGGCCCCTGGGCCGCCACCCCGCGGATTGACACGGGGCTTTTTGTCGCGGATGCCCCGTGCGGAACGTACTCGTGCGACTGCGCATCCGCGGGATCGAGATCTGGAATGGAGACCACGAGGGCGAAGATACGGATAATTACGTTCGCCGGTCGTGACCTTCCCCCTCCACTCCTCTCCTCCTCTCGCGGGTGGGACGGCTGGGGGCGAGGTCAATGTTCTTGTCGCCCGTGTCGCACTCCGTCTTCGCTTTTCCCTCCTGCACCGCGCGGGGTGCCGGCTGCGGGCCGTGGCTGGGCCGCGCCGACAGGGGAGGCCTCTCCGCTGCCCTCTGGCACGGCCAGGGCGGAGGAGGCTCAGCCAGGAAAAAGACCAACGACGATCTGCCTTGACCGATCCAGCTCGGGCACCGGGAATTTGGGGCGCGCGCCCCAGGGCGGGGGGGAGGGACGGCGAAGAAGAAGGTAGGAGGAAGAGGGCGTGGGGCCAGGGGGAGGGAGCAGCCCTCACGTAGGCATCCCAGGACGCCGACGCAAGCAAAGAAGGACGGCCAACCAACCTCCGCAGAGCCATCATTCAACCATGAGCCGACCTGGCCTCCAACTTCTTCTGCCCGTTCCCCCTCCTTCGCGCTCCTCGCCCTCCTCCTCATCCGTCTCCCCCTTCGTCGTCCTCCTTTCTCCTCCCCCACCTTCTCATCCTTCCTCACGCTCCCGTCTCCTCCTCTCGTCTCCCTCATCCTCCTTCCCTTCTCCTCCTCTTGTCCCCCCTCCCCTCCCACTCGTCTCCCCCCTCCTCCTTGTCCCTTTCCCTCATTTCCCCCTCCTCCTCCTCCTCCTCCTCCTCCTCCTCCTCATCCTCTTGCGTCCTCCTCCTCTGCACCCACCTCCTGCTCATGGTCCTTCCTCTCCCCTTCTTCCTCCTCCTCCTCCCTCCTCCTCCTCTTCTCCCTCTCTCCTCCCTCCTCCTTCTCCTCGTCCTCCTCCTTCTCCTCCTCCTCGTCCTCCTCCTCCTCCCCCTTTCTCCTCCCCTTTCTCATCCTCCTCCTCCTCCTACTCCTCCTCCTCCTCCTCCTCCTCCTCCTCTTCCTCCTCTTCCTCTTCCTTCGCCTCCTCCGTTCGCCTCCTCCTCCTCCGCCTCCTCATCTTCCCCCTCCCTCTTTCGCACCCTGCCCGCTCTCCCGGCGGTGGCCGTCTCCTCGCGTGCCATGAGGTACATCTTGAAGTTGAGGGACCTGCGTTCGTAGGGGGCTCATCCTCTTTCTCATCCTCTTCTAATTTTTTTCCATACAAATAGCTGTTCCCTGTCGCGACCAGCGAGCATTTTTTGGGGCGGGCTGGGCGTTTCGCCTGAGACTTCCTCATCATTTATGACACTGCTCAACGATTGCAACATACTCACAGATGGAAGGCGGGTCGTTGTCACAATGTGGCTCTTGCCTTAGCGCCGCGCGTATTCGTTTTGGCAAGAATTTCGCACGTACAGGGCGACCCGTTTTCAAAACGTTGCTCTCGCCTGTGCGCCGCGCGCATTCGTTTGAAACGTTTTCACACATTTCACGGTTTGGGGGCGACCTGTTTTCAAATTGTGACCCTCGCCTTCGCGCCGCGCACATGTTTAAAACCATGTGCAAAAACTTCACGGATAGATAGGGGCTCGTTTTCAAGATGCGGTTCTCGCTTTAGCGCCGTGCGCACTCGTTTAAAACATCTGCCATATTATCACGGATTCCCATGATCAACGTATCGGACATTGTGTTTATGACACCTTCAAAACAATGGGGATGCAATAGTTATGTTGAATCGCGGCGTTGAAGTTTCAGGAATGGCGTTCTGGCACGAGTCCAGATTACCAAGACGCAACAATCAAATTGATCCCTGGCGTTGGAATCCCGAGAACAATGTTTTGGCAGACTTCAGGGTCTTCAAACGGCTGTCTTCCAACGAGGCAGTTCCCACGGTGGAAATGAACCATTGTAGGGGCCTATGAAGAGGGAGCTTGGAGGGAGGACTTCTGCCAACATCGCTGATGACTCTTGGGCTTACACTGGCCCTCCTTCTTCTACTGCTCCTGCTCCTCTGCGCTCTGCGCTGCCAAGCGATCCATCCCGTGAGCACAAGATGCCCGCACATAAGTACAACAATTACCTCCGCAACGGCTTCGGAACCGCCGCCTCGCCCTTCGGTGCGGACGGGTTCTTGCCCTGCTTCAAAGGCGCAGGGCCCACGCCCCCCATTCCCCCTCGAAGCGGCCCGTGCACCTAGCACCCGGGTCTTTGACCTGATGCTGGGCATACACACCGCACGCCGAACACCATATTACAAGCCCATTGGCCCAGAGACGGTGGGTGGGGTGAGCTTTCGCCTGGGCCACGGGAACCACAGGGCAAGGCAGCTGCACCCGCCGAGGGCGCGACGCCCGCCCGATCCCACAGACACTGCACCCCCACCCACCAGGAACCTGTGATATTTGCTGGAACTAGCACAAGCAGGGGGGCCTCTGAATTCACGCGGGTCCTCTGCCTACGTTCCTTGATGGCCTCCACGTCTGGGTACCCTAACTTGTGCACATACTTCAACACCTCTGTCAAGTACCTGGCCAGGAGGGCCACCTGATCACGATGGAACCTTACTCTATCTTGAACGTGGAAATTCATCGGGTGCGCCTTGGCACCCTTCTTGGCCCACTCGTCGGCGAACCTGTTCCCATGAAAAAATGGAGGCGGTGCTCCATGGCTGCATGCCGCTCGCCGCGACTGGTGCGTGGCGATCTTCACAACCTGAGTGTGTTCCTTCCCGACACCCTCGGCTCTCTTCCATATCTGCCTCCACAGTTCAGCATACGCCTTATTCGGGTGAGTCGCGCTTGCCTCCCCAGCCTCCCGCCCATCTACGACCATCCGACAGTCCGTGCATATCGTGATCATCGGCCCCATCAACAATAGGGCCATGTAGAACGCGTACAATTCTGAACTGGGCACGTCTTGATCTGGGAGCGGCGACGGTCCATGCGCAATCGCTTCTACTTCCAGCGTGAGCGGCGCAGAAGCTACTGCCCATCCTGCTCTGACAAGCCAACTGCTATCGTTGTCGCACCCCGAACCATGTACACATACGTACGGCCCCAAGGTTCCATAGCGGTGAGGAGGATGGGCCCACTTAAAATCTGCGCCGAGCAAAATCTTCGGGATCTCGCTGCGGTCGTTGCTCACCAACGCCCGAGTCCACCTGTGATCTACCTGAGCTTCCTTGCCCGACTTCAAGAGCTGGCCTCCTGGGTCGAGGTCGCGGCGACAAAACCAAGAGCCGTCGCAGCCCCACAACCTGTGGTGCGCCGACCCCGTTCGGGCCCCGCACCACCTGCAAATCGGATCCAGGTCTTGCTGCGTCCAGAGGCCTCCAGAAACCTGAGCAATTATGAGACTTATCCCAATTATGAGGCGACAGAGGGGCACAATCGCTTGGTCGGAATAAACAGACGTGGGCCGAAGGGCTGAGGGGGGGGGGGGCACGGTCGGTCGGTCGATCGGAATAAGCCGGCGGGGGCCACGGGTCGGTGGGGCGCGGTGGGGCAGGCAGAGCACGCGGGGGCGGCGCGCACCCCAGGCCACACCTTAGCACGTATCCCAGTACACGAAGCCAGCACACATCCCAGCACACGGAGGCAACACGAAGCCCTGCACACATCCCAACACACGAAGGTAACACACGTCCCAACACACATCCCAACACACATCTCAGTCCAACGCACATCCCAGGCACGGTCGGCCGGTCGGTCGAAATAACGCAGTGCGACATCACACTGGTAGGTCTGATGATAATCAGCTGCACTGAGTTACAATTAACCAGAACTCGCCAAAACTAACCATACTTAGTGGCACCTAGCGAGATGTAGGAACTGGCCAGAAATATCCCAAACTAGAAAACTGAAATATAACGAGCCATGAATTGTCACGAGTTAGCCATAATTAAGCAGAGCTCGCCATCACTATCCAGAACCAGCTGGAACTAGCTTAAACTAATCAGAACCAGCCAAGATTATCACGAGTTAGCCGCAAGTAAGCAGAAACGTGAACGATCTTTCAGGATTGTCCGCACTTTTCAGCACACTTCGCCAGAATTGAACGGAATGCACCAAATTTAACCAGCGGCCAAGGCGCCCTGTGCGTCTCGCACCTCGACCCGGTGCCCCTCTCGGTCCCGCGACGGTCACGGCGACGGCGCCCCCTCGCGAAGCGGAAAGATCAGAGCCCGCCCGAAGACGGCCCAAAAACCGCCCGTGGCCACTGCGATGGCCAGCGAGAATAGTCAAACAAACGCTGTTACATGTTGTGCTGCGGTTAATTGCGGCGCGCCCGGGGGTGGGCGGTAGGGGAAAGGTTCGGGGTGGCCCCGAATCGGGATTCGATTTGCACAACACAATGAACCATAATAAATCAAACTTAGCCAGATTTGACCACATGCAGAAGCCAAAACTAACAATGACTAATCACAATGCGCCACAATTAACAATACTTAACCATACAATTCACCAAACTGCACACATCTTATCCCGAAATATTCGCAATCAACCAACACCCATCGTAATTCACGAGAAATGGTAATACTTAGCTAAACTTTACCACAAATAATCAGGATGATCAAACATAATCTGGATACGCCCGAACTAATAAACATGACGAGTACTCCGCCAGAGTTAACAATGACTGGCAATAGCCATCCTGAACTTGACATAATTAACTACACCTATTGGGGATTATCCAGGACTAGCAATAATTACCCATGGTTGACCCGGACAACTCAAAATGATCCTGAATCCGCCGACATCACCGAAAATTGAAGAACATGAGCCAGAATATACAAACATCTCCCATAATTCACCAAAATGACCACAACAAATCATAAGTAGTCATGCTCGACTATAAATAAAACGATCAACCGGAACCAGCCAGAAACAGCAATGATCCATCAAAAATGCCGCCACTTCCGAAATCAAGCAAATGAGCCAAAAATAAAACTGGCGGGCAGGGCCGGTCCCGTGACGGCCGCGGCGACGGCGTCGGAGCCGCCCCCCTCGCGAAGCGGAGAAACCAGAGCCCGCCCGAAGACGGCCAAGAGACCGCCCATGGCCAATGCGATGGTCAGCGAGAATATTCAAACACGCGCTGTTGCATGTTGTGTTGCAATTATCAGCGGCACGCGCGCGTTGGGCGGGGGAGGAAAGACTCGCCGCGGGCCCGGGTGGGGATTCCATGCGCGGGGCACAACTAGCCAGACCTAACCAGAATTAGCCAGAATTCGCCACAACCACAATTAACGAGGAATTGACAAGAATCAGCAATAAGCAACCATAATCATCCACCAATAACCAAAGTTATCCAAACGATAACCAGACTCAGCGAAAACACACAATAACCATAATTGGCCAGAAGTAACACTGGCGAGCCACATTTGGTCATACTTAGCCAGCTACTCAGCGCTAGGGATACTTACCCTGATTAACCAAAACTAGCACACATTAGCTATGATTAATCAGAGCGAACCAAAATCAACCATGATCAACTAGAACCAACCAGGATCTCGCTGCACTCAACCAAACATAGCCATAATGAACCACAACCAAATCAACCACACGTTACCAAATTATCCCGACTTAGTCATACTTGCCAAGACTGGACCAACACGAATCACAACCAACCAAACTTATCCAACATTCACCAGACTCGCCAGCAGTCACCACAAGTTACCAGAACGGCAAACACATCACCAACATCAGCCAGCATTAACCATAATCACCCAGAGGCAGAGGGGACTATCCAGAATGAACACTCTATTCAACAATTAACAGACCGTTGCTAGAATTAGCACTGTTCGCCAGAGTTAACCAGCATTCGCAATAATGATGCACAACCCGAAGTAACCCCAGACTTAGCCGCAACTGCAATTATGCAAAATTCACCAGAAGAAACGCGACCCCAAGAATGAACCAGAATTGGCCAGAATGACGCAGATGCGACCATAATGACCCCCGGGTAACTACAATTAGCCATTGCGAACCAGAATTAACCAGAAATTGCCCAACTTCCCCAGGCACATCGAATTTCCATTCGCGGGGGCCCCAACAAAAGATTCTACGCGCGGTGGTGGGTGGGGGGGGGGAAGGGGCGAAATAGAGATCATATTTGCGGGGGGGGGGGGGGCAGAAGAGATGCTATCGTCGGGGGCCCCATAGCCCAATAGGAATCCTATGCGCGGGAACCCCCAGAAACAGATTCTGTCTGCGAGAATAGGACGAAAAGAATCTATGGACACAACGTGCTGCTGATGCGTTCCGGGGATTCCGGGATTTCTAACAGCCTTCGCGCGGGGTGCACTTTGCGTCGAGCATTGTCTACTCTGGCTGGCGCCGCTGGTCGGTCACCCATTCGCAATCGAGTGGTCGCCCGTAGGGGGCTATTTGGCAATTGCTGATCCCCCTTTCTCGTTGACGAGCGCGGGGGGGGCGGTGGCGCGCCGCCCCGTCGCCCGCCGCCGCGCGCCGCGCGCCCCGGCGGATTTTCAGAGACCTGGCAAAGCAAATCACGCGCGACTCTGGAAAATTCCCGGGTGGAGAATTCGAAAAAAATCAGGGGGCGTTTTTGAAAATGCCCGGCCTGCGTGATGAAACATACCACAATCGATTTTGAAAAACTCCGGGATCGAATTTGCAAAATTCCGGAATCCATTTTGAAATAATCCGGATTACTGAATTGTTCCGATGTCCTGCGCGGCGGGCACATTTCACCCCTCAGAACATACATGTATATACATATATGTATGTATGTATGTATGTATGTATGTATGTATATATATATATATTCCCCAATAAGAGCTTGCCTCTGCAAGGGTCCTAGGGGATTAAAGGGTTAGGTGAGGTGCGTCGCCGATTTCGGTGGCCGGGCCTGGGTGCCCGGGTGCCCGGGTGCCCGGGTGCCCGGGTGCCCGGCGGTGCCGGGGTGCCCGGTGAGGTGCCTGGCCGATTTCGGTGGCCGGGCCCGGGTGCCCGGGTGCCCGGGTGCCCCGGGGTTTCCGGGGGTGCCCAATAGCCCAATAGCACAATAACGCCGTACCCCTATAGCCGTGTAGCCGTGTAGCCCTATAGCCTTATATCCCTATATAGCCCTACTAGCCCTATATCCCTATAGCCCCATAGCCCATATAGCTCTATAGCCCCATAGCCCTATGGCCCTATAGGTCACAATCCTATAGCCCTATAGCCCGATAGCCCTATAGCCCTATAGCCCGATAGCCCTATAGCCCTATAGCCCGCCCTATAACCCGAGTGCAAAAGGAGCAATTGGAATATCAACAAAAAGATTGGATTTTCTCCGGAATCATATATATATATATATATATATGTATGTATATTCTGGCTCCTTTTTTACAAATTCTGGAACCGCTTGCGCCAAAAAAGCGAAAGCGTTTTCTGAAACATTCGACATTCCAATAATAATTTCCGGGCGGTCCGACGGGCGCGGCCGGCTGATTCACGCGCCGCGCCGCGCGCAATTGGGCGCAGCGCGCGCCGCGCGTTGCGCCCGCGAACGGCACTCCAAGGGGGCGCCTCGAAAACAGCGCCGCGGCAGCTGCGACTCGCGGACTCTCCAAGAGCAACGCAGCATGCAGCTTGGATTCTGCGAGGGCGCTCCGATGCGCGAGGAATGCACCGCGCACATCACGCAGAGAACATGCGCGACGGAATGCGCTCGACAATTCGACCCTGGAGCCCGCGCGGAAAAACAGGAAAACATCGAAATCTTGAAAACTATCAATATCAATACTTCATGCTCCTCTGAGAGAGACGCGCAGAATGGGCCGTGGGGCCGGAAACTCACCCAGCTGGACCCACATGCTCGGCGCGAAGAAACCACGCGCTGGATGCGCGCGCGGACGGGTGGCGCACCCGCCAGGCCGACCGCCGGGAAGCCACGCGGCCACGCGCGCGCCCAACTCTCGCCCAGGCCTGCCACTATCCGGCTTGTCCGTGGCCCCCGCGGGCGCGATGCGATGCCCGCTGCCGCTCGCAGAACCAGGCCGGCACCGTTGCCGCCAGCGCGCGCTGCTGTGCCGCCGCCACTGCGCCCCGCGCGCCGAATGAAACGTGACAGAGGAAAGCGCGGCGCGGCGCCATTTTGCTTTCTGCGTTCCAGTGCCAAGTCAGATCCCGCCACCCCCATCGAGGCCGAGGTGGGGCGCATGCGTTTTTTATGGCTGGCCTCTATTGAGGGCGCTGTTGTTTGATATTTCTGGTTTTGGCTTCCTGGGCGCGTCTATATCTAAAAACTGTCCGCTGTTGCTGGGGGGCTGCCAGGTCAGCAGGTCTTTGCGAGCGCCCTCAACACGCGCGGTGAAAACTGCACTTCTGAATGCATGAGAGTCTCGTCACGGCATCCCAACGCGACGCTCCAACATTGAACCCGCTCATGATTACAGCCGCGTTTCCAAAACCATGTCTGAGGTCAGCCTGCGCTTGCGCAAGCGCGACATGGGACATCCCTCCCATTCCCCCCCTCATCCCCCTGCCATGAAGGCAGCGCCTCCGCCGCGGCCTGTGCGCCGTCGCCGATGTCAGTCCCGGCCAACCCCAGCCTCCGCAGGCCAGGCATGGAGGGCAGCGCCCCTGCCGGGGCCTGCGAGCCGCCGCCGCCGATGCCATTGTTGTCCGCGCTCCAGTTTCCGCAGGCCGGGCGCACTGGGCAGCGCTCCCGCCAGGGCCTGCGCGCCGTCGCGGCCGATGCCATGACCGTGCAGGTTCAGCTCCTCCAGGCCAGGTATGGAGGGCGGCGCCTTCGCCAGTGCCTTCGGGGCCGCGTGGTCGACGTCGCAGCTCCCCTGGGTCCAGCTCCTCCGGGCGGGCGCACAGCCGCAGGCAGCCCGCGAGCCCCGCGGCTCATCCGGCGGGAAACCGCCTTCACCGCCTTTCTGTCCGCGCGATTGGTGAAGGACCTGTCTCCGATGGGCCAGTCGAACTAGCCCAGGCCTTCCGGCCCCCCCCCTCCCGCATTCCTCGCCTCCGCCCCCTGCCCCAAGTCGGCCACGGCGCCCCAATCCGCGTCGCAGGGCCACACTGCTTGATCTGCTCCACGGAGCAGCGCTCGTACGTCATCCAGCCGGACTGGTCGCAGCCGCACTCGCGCGCGCTGCCCCGCTTGCGTGGGTGCTCGGTGTGCAGGAGGACGGTGGTGGCCTGGTGGGCGTACCAAGAGGTCCATCGTCTCCTGCAGCCCGTGATTGAACACGGCCTTTTCGGCGGGGTTCCGATTGGCCTCGTCCGCGGCCTCGTGCGCGTCCTTCTCGGTTTTGCCCTGCTCCATGGAAGGCGGCCTTCGCGTTTTTTCTCGGCCTTGTCAGGGTCGCCCTGCAGCAGCGAGGGCCAGTCCCAGAAGACGCCCATCTCTCAGGACCCCTTGCAGGAATTTCTGGCTGTGGAATACAGCCGGACCAAGGGCAGAAACACATCTTTCAAGAACATGAGACTCTCCACTGGCCAAAATGAAGAACATTTTCGAGTGTACCCTCCCCCAGGATGCACAAGAACATCACAAACACACACATGAAGAACACTAGGGTACCCTCCCCGAACCGACCTCGATCTCATGTTTCGGTCCGATCACCTTTGCGGCGGTCTTTCTCCAGATTCGATTGCCTTTCACCAAGCTCAGCTGCACCACACTGGGATCGGGGTGTTCGCGTGAGTCCCAGCAGAACGGGATGGTGATGATCGGCGCCTCATAGTCTTCTCATCCTCGCCCGCCCGCGCCCCAGACGGCCCGCAGCTTGTCCGCGGACAGAAACGCCTCCTGTGGCAACTCCTGGCGCCTCTTCCGGACCGTACCGCGCTGCTGCAACAATCACGACATGCGGACCAAATGCACCGGGTGGAAGCCTTCAACGGTGCACGCTCGCGGCGTCCGTGTACTGCGTCAGATCGAAAGACTCTTCCTGCTGCTGCTGCTGCTGCTGCTGGTCCACTGGCGCCTCTACAGACTCGGGCATGGCGTCGCTCTCCTGCTGGTCCTCTGGCACGGGCCCCTTCACGAGGTCCAGCGTGTGCGGTGGCGGCCCGCCGGCCTGCTTGTCCTCGAGCACCACGGGCACCTGGCAGGAGGCCATGTTGCGCCCCATCGCGTCGGGGCGGGGGGCTGGCTTGCAGAGGCAGGGGGGGCGCCCGCGCCTGCTTCCAGACCTTTGTCCAGCCGTGGAAGCTTGAGCCATAATGGCTACGGACCAGAGGGTTTCCTCCTCCTCCTCCTCTTCCTCCTCCTCCTCCCTTCCCCTCCTCCTCATCCCTGTTCCCTCCTCCGTCCTCATCTCTATCTCCCTCCTCACTCTTCATGTTCGTCATCTTGATTATCATCCTCCTCTCCCTCCTCATCCCTTTCCTCCTCCTCCTTCTCCTTGTCCCCCCTACTCGCAACGCATCGCAACAAGAGTCTGAAGCCGAACATCAGCAGTGCAAGCTACCAAACTCAAATCAAGACTCCTCCGCTCCTCCCTCGTCCGCGTGGTCCTCCTTCCTCTCTCCGCCCTCCTTCTCCCCTCTCCCTCTTCGAAGCTCAGGGACCTGAGCTCGTGGAGGGGCCTGTTCTGGATGCACTCGGACGTGATGCCGCGCGGCACCTGGCACCGACATCAACTGCACACCTGCACCGCTGCTGACCGAGCCCCCCGCAGGCCGGGGATCGGAGCACCCGCCCTCATGGCCTGGCCTGGAAGGCACACGTCCTCCGATCGTGGCCCCGGGGCTGACCTGGCCAGGAGGGGTGCAGGCGTGCAGCTGGCGTTCCCCGAGGCGCCGACTCTTTGAGGTCCACGTTCCAGCACAGGTTGCCCTGTGAGGAGGCCGCCCCCCTCCCCCCCCACTGGCGGGGGTCGCCCGCCCGTCCTCCTCCTCCTCCTCCTCCTCCTCCTCCTCCTCCATCTCCTGCTCCTCGTCCCGTTCCTCTTCCTCCTCCTGAGGTCCTCCTCGTCCCCTTCCTCTTCTCCTTCCTCCACCTCCAGCAGCTCCAGCTCCAGCTCCAGCTCCACCTCCTCCTCCTCCTCCTCCAGTGGGAGGCAGGAGGACATGGGAACTCGCATCAAGAAGCCTTGCATCTGGCCCTGTGAAAGCGCGAGCCAGACGTGCAAATCCCACCAGCCCTCCAGGGCTCAGGTGGCTGGTTTGGCTGGGGAACAACAACTTAAGGTATCGATACCGACCACAACACCATGGACCCCTCCTGGGGTGCGTTCTGAATCGGATTTCGAGGCGAATCCAGCGGTGTCGACGAGGGCCTCCCAGGAGGCTGAAAAACGGTAAAACGGCCGCAGGGTAGCGGTATGAGTTCCTTTTCCCCCTATCCCCTCACTGGCTCTGGAGGGCGGGCGCCGTGGGTCGCTAGAGCGTCCACGATGACCCAACATGGCCCCAATGTGGCCCCAAATAGCCCAACATGGCGTCCAAGATGGCACAATCTGGCTCCAAATAGCGTCTCGCGTGCGTCCACGATGCCGCAAGAACTCCTTCCAACACGGTTCGAAGTGGCCACGACACCTCCCAGGGACCTCCCGAGAACCCAAAATCCATCGCGGCGACGAAGCGGCAATTGGTGGTTACCGCGGGTTTGTGTCGTGTCGACCCCCGCGTTTTGCGTTCGACTTCGACCGATCCTGTGCCCCCAGCGGCCTTCGACGTTGACCGCCAGCGGCGGGGTCGCCGCCGGTCGACACGACACAAACCTGCCATGCGGGGCGAAAGCCTGGAACGGCCAGCCAACTCACGAGGCGCCGACGATGCGGCGACGGTCGGGGATCTGCTGGCCCAGATCAATCCAAACCCGGGCCAGCCGGGCCTTGCAAAATCCTACAGGATCCTGCGCCTAAATCCCGGGTTCCATGACATCCAGCTGCTTCAACTTTTTCGATGCGTGGGCCCCGGAAGTCTGGACCACTTCTCTATCGTTGTTCGACACTCCCGACGCCCGGCGAGGGCCCCCAAAGGCCGAAAACGGGCGAAAACCGCCTGCTTCAATTTTTTGCTTGACCGTCGGATCTCAGGGTCAATGCGCCCCTGGCCCTCCAGGCTCCTGCAAGATCCGACGTTCTGATTGACCCCTGTTGGCATTGACCCTCGTACCTTGAGCCCCGAGACGGGCGGGCACAGGCGACTGCCAGCGGCGACGGGCAGGCCTGGGGCGAAGCCCCAGGGCCGCATGCCAGCGCGCGGGGCGACGACGAAGTCGGCAGAGGCAGACCCGGGGCGATTCCGACACCGCACGCCGGCCACTCAGCAACCAAAGTATTCATCGGACGGATTAAGTAGGTAGAACCATGAAGTGGGAAGGCATTGGAAGTATATTGGGTTGCCACGCGCATCCTGTAGGGGAGGGAAAAAGGAGAACCACTCGACACTTGAAGCAGGAAGGCGCCGAAAGTAGATTGGAATCGGGGAATCCCAAAATGACCCCTTTCAACGACGGAGGGGTAAGGAAACAAAAAAACAAGGGTCAAATACTTGACCATGAGGTGATAGGCTGGGAACCCTGCTCTTGGGGCAACGTCGACGACGTATCGGAGCATCCCGTAACTCATCCCTTTGATGGCAGGCAAGACGAGAGATAAGGGACAAACCATGAGATTGAGGGTTGGGTCATTGTTCGACGTGGCTTTGTCTGATACGATGATATGGTTGTGTTTCACTGCCGTGAAAACAAGCAAATGGGGCAGCGCTACCTTGGGCCAAGGTAGCGGCGGATAGATCGTTCGACATATACTGGCCCCACTCAATTCCTTGTAAAATCGGGGGGGGGGGGCGAACTGTAGATCCGACCCCGAACAAATAAATACAAGTAAAGACCTAGACCGCATGACTGCCCGCAGATAATTCGGGGGGGCGTCTGGCCAACAGCCAGGCGTCAAAGCGAGAGCAGTAGGAAGGGTACCCGACCAAACCGTCGGGTGCCCAAGAACAGTTGGCCCGTGTCCGGGCTGGCTCGTATCCGGGCATATACGTATAGGAAGCCTGTGGCCGAGCATGGATTGAATGCGTGGAAATGGTTACGTAACCAATCGCACACCTATCCGCTAGCCCTGAATAGGGCATCCTGGAGTCGATGCTGTCTCTGTGCTGCTTCGATGGGGTACATACTTATTTTCATCAATATTTGAAGGACTGATTACCTTCCATGACTTGCAGCAGTGACGCGCGATCAATCCAGCCTGTGGTCTGGCCGTCGGTCTGGCCGCCTGCTGTCGCATCCCGCGCGTCGCGCCACCGTGCGCCGTGAACGATGCCTCGGACCATCGCTTGTCTGATGCAGCTGATCTGTCCCAGCAGGGTACATTCGGTTGGCTTCTTCAAGTCCTCACTTTACAAAGAACTGAAAACCGATTCAGAATCGATGGTATGGATGGCCCTGGTGCGGAGACCGCCTAGCTCTAGTATGCCTAAGTCGCGTTGGCGTAGGTGGTCCGAGCTCGCGTCGAGTCGCAATGGTAGGTTCAAGATTATGAGCTGCTGCCAGTGTCCCAGCTGAGTAGCTGGAACGTACAGGCAAGCGGTGTTACTTGCATTTATATGCATCGGTCAAGTGGAATTCTGCCTTGCCATCAGGCGCGCGTCCGCGAAAGGTTGGCTCCTCGGACGCCATGCCCCTGCACCTCGTCATCTTCGCCCCCATTGCGGCGACGGTGGCCAGAGTCACTGTGGAGGTCCACTTCTCCTGTCGGTGTCATGGGCTGATCTGTTATTGTCTTGGGACCTTGAGTCATGGGTGATCTGTTATTGTGTCATGGGTGATCTGTCGGTTTCCTGTCGGTGTCATGGGCTGATATGTTATTGTGTTTGCGCGCGACGCCATTGTCTTCGCACTTGACGGTTCGCAGGTCCCCGCGCGCACTGCAAGGGCGCTGCGCGCGCCATCGACCGCGCCTGCGCGATTAATGCGCGCGCGAACGCGCCGCCTAAACAGATGCACGCGTCGGGCAGTGTCTTCGTTGCCCTTGCTTCGCCCACAGTGCCAGTGAGCTCTGCGTGCTGCTTTGGGCGAAATTGCTTGATGTATTCGTCCTGATCTAGCTGGGCGCGGCCGCCCTCAGTCCTAGCGTAGCGCGCGGCGCAGTTGGTGCAACAGCGTGTGCGTGTTCAGTGTACAAGCGCCGGTCGTGCTTCTACACACGTGACATATTTGTCCACAGTGTCCATCGCGTTTGGCTGTTAAATCGTTTCGGGCTCGTCTCGCATTCTTCGTCATATGACGCGGGTTCTCGCCCGAAGCCTTGCGTGATGGCCCTGCGCTTCAATGGGAATTCCCTGGGGGCATCTTTGGTGCCTGCGCCCAATTTCAGGCACCGTAGATCGTGCTCTGATTCGTCGCGAGACGAGAAGCCGGGCAATGCGCGTAGCACCGAGGCTGAGCCAGGTGAAAGACCAAAGCGAACAGGGCGCTCTTTCTCTCCAGTGGCCTCTGCTAGCTCACTCAGAGTCGGGCCCTTTCAAGAAAAGCCTTGTCAGTGCCCATGGGCGCGATGATCCATGATCTCTCGCGCGCGGCCGCGCTGGCGAGCGACCGTTGGCTTGCTCGACGGGCCGTGCCCGAAAAGGTTTCCACGTCGAAAGCTTCGACGCCCATAAAAAAAACGCGAAGAACAAGACTACGTCGAATGGTTCGTCTCAAGTCGCCCTCTTCATTTTCACGAACTTCCACTTGTGCGCGAATCTGGATGCAATGATGCTTGTAATGCTCTTGATTCCCTGCATGTCAAACGCTGTTTTTGCCGCGCCATACTTTCAGCTCTGCGTGCAACGCTCTGGATATATCCGCCGAATTGGCCTGAATGTCCGCCTTCGTCTGGAAGTCGTCATCCTTGGCGACCGCAGCTTTCCTAGCTGCGGCTGGGTTGCTTGTCTGACCGTCGCGTAGAGATCCGCGCTTTTGCTCTGCCAGGGCAACCCTAGCAATGTCAGCAGTGAAAATAACACTACGCACTGACCATCTTCGTCTGAATCCAAATCGTAGGTCTCATCATATTCTCATCCAAAGTACCAGGGAAGTTTCGCCAATGCTGTCGTCATAAGCACAACCTGTGTCCCGCAAATATCTTCGCTCTTCACTGGCCATAGTCACGAGTGCATGGCTGTTTGTAGCCATTTCCGCGTGTGCAGAACACGGATTCCCATGAGGGAGTCTCGAGTAATCCCATTCTCTTGGAATTCGACATACCACGTTACCATGATATGTGCTCCCCCGTCCTTTTCGGGATCCTCAACGATGATCGGCAACCTGCGGTCAAGTGCGGCCGGCGCTGGAAATCGTTCTTCATCTTGGACGTTGCCGAAACCTGCTAAGGGTTGAGGTCTTTAGGAATTTGGTTATTATTGTATGTGTGGTTCCAGTGATGTCGCGGACATTGAAGGCAGTTCCTCCGCATTCGGAATAATCAAATCCTGGTGCAACGTCGTTTCGTAATATATCAGGGTGACATATCAACGCATGGTGCCGAAGGTATACCGTGGATACTTTTGGCCGAACGTACTGTCACTACGTGTTATATCCCAAGATAATTTATGATGAGGAACTGTCAGGCTAAGTGACCTTAGGTGAGAGACGGCCCACCGTGGTCATCCGCAAGTTCCCTTACTTCACCGGCAGGTAGCCGAATACCACGGCAGGTCCCCCCGCGGGCGGGCTCGCGATAAGGGCCAGCACTGCACGCGTAGCCGTAACATCGGATCCGAAATCGCGGACCATTAGTTAGCGCCTCGATGTGCCGAGTGCGACGTCTGGGTACTGAACGAAGACTTCCCGACCGCCAACTTGGACTGCTGCCTGGCCCCGGCCACGGAAAATGCGGG